AGAGTATGGAATAGTCTTCCTGCTAGTGTAGCGGAAGCTACAGTAAAACCCTGGGTTCCTTTAAATCAGAGCTAGATAAGATTTTAACAACTCTGCGCTATTAGTTAAGTTCTCCCCAAAAGAGCTTGATGGGCCGAATGGCCCCCTCTCGTTTGTAAATTTCTTATGTAAGTCACACAGCCTGCAATGTCAGCCATCTTGTAACACCTTACATCGTCAATAGGGGGTTTTCAGTAGCCCGGGCAACTCCAAAATGCTCCTCATTGCATGTGCCACATAACACAAAGATTAAAGCGGAAAAAAAGCTGAACATCTGACTCAAAAGAAGAAAACTGTTTAACATGTACTTTGATCCAGAAAGCCTAAAGTCAGATAAACGTTTGCCTCACCTGTGCAGGCAGTTTTATATTCTATGAACTCTCATCTGGGCAGAACATGGAGAGTGAAAACCAGAAGCGTTTCAGCGCCATCTTCTGTCAAAATGTAGGCATTCAACACAGCCCCTTGGTTCAGCCTTTCCTGTATCATCTGTTGGCTATCAGGTTTTTTATTTAACAGTATTAAATTAGCAGCTTATCATGGGTACTACTCCTCTACCTCCACACTGCATCACTGCTTTTTCAAAGGAAGGGGACTCTAGGCTTCCAAATCCTTTTTCCATACCTGCTTGTTCTATGCTGGGTCACAGAGCCCATCCTGTAAACTACAGGCACAAGGCAGGGGATAACTTAGCATGGCAAAAGTTTCATCGCAGTGCACACACACACATGCATACCTATGGGTCATTTCAACAACTCCACATCACCTTGGCATGCTTTCGGGCTGGAGAACATGCATGGCGATATCCTGGCACTGACAGGTAACACTGAAATATTACTAGAAGATAAGCAGCTCCATTAAAAATAAAACAAAAGAAAAAAAGATGGGAGTTGCACTCAGTACTCAATTTAAAGACGAATACTACAAAGCCAGCACAGTAAAATGTGCCACTGACGAAGCAGCACAGCAAAATGACAAACCCGATACAAAACAAAGCACAGAGCTCAAAACGTTTCAATAGTATTTTAATGGCAAATACTGCACTACACTCAAGTAAACAACAGTGTATATAAATCATGTGGTGGCAAAGGGGACACACAAAATGGATTACAAAAAGCAGTCTTAACAAGTGCAGTTTTTACAAGCTAAACCCCCTCGCTTCTTTGTTTTTCTATACCTTATACAGTAAATATAAAAATAAAATCGCAGTCCTGGGCACAAAACTGTCCAAGATTTTTGTCCAAGATTGTCTATAGCTGGTGGCAGTAGTCAGATCTAGCCTCTGGGGGCTAGTCTCCCCCAGCTCAGGTGGAATGTTCTCTCCCTCTCTCTGTAATTTCCCCTCAGGGGACAACACTGGGGGGGGGTGTCAATCCAGGAATATCAGCCTCTTCTACAACGCTCCACACACTGGACTCTATCCTGGCCGCTCTGTAGAAGAATGACCCTCACGCGAGTAGTGTGGCCAGCTGGAAGTTCTGAGAACACTGACCATGTCTGGTTTGCTTTCCAGAGCTCACCACAGTTCACTCAATGGTCTCGTACTAAATATTTATTGCAGCTAAGTTTCTCCACTTGTAAAGGCTGGCCTTTTGAGAAAAAATTAAACTCACTGATTAGGAAGAAAAAAAAGTTGGCAAGATACATTTAGCACCATATTTTGGATTTTCTAAAGTCTGTTTTTCCCACTATTGTACAGTAATTAGTGTATTTTATGGTGCAATGTATTCTTGAATTGGAAGCCATAATTGATTTCAATAAACAAATTTGAAATGACAGAGGCTGGTGAAAATGCACAAATTTGACAGGTGTGTAAACATGACCATTTCACTGAGTACACCCTGAAAATTTCACCACCACAGCAATAACAGAAGGCCAATTAAAAATTAAACGGGAATGATTATTATACTCCCCCCACCTTGGTTTACCAAAATGAAACTACTGTGGTTTATCACACCATCAGCACCATGAGCCAACACTTCCAAAGGATCTCTCCAACAGACTTCACATTCACATGTACACTGCCAGGAAATGCAGGGGGAGATCATCACATTTAGCACATAACTCAAAATACACTAAAATAGTTTGGGCAGTGTGACATATGCAAGTAGAATAATGATACTAAAAAAAAAAAAAAACAACAGGAATATCACAACACTTAAAAACCTAAATACTACATACTGACCAACATACTGTCTATTGTGCATCCGCTTATTTCCTACACTACATTTGTACAAACGGGTGGCTGACAGCAGTTGCGCCAGTGGTCTCTCAAAACAATTTTATGGGAAAGTAAAGTAAAAGGACGCAAAACCGAGTACTTGCTCAGCTGTATTGCTCGTTTGTGTGTTATTTCCTGTTACTTCAGGAATCAGCCGATTGTTTCCATTTGATGCTTCCCCCCCTTCCATTTACACTTTCTAGCTTTCTTACAGACGGCATTTAAAAATAAAGAATTAAGAACGCTTTAACAAATACACATTAAAAATACTAGGGAAGTCGATAAATAGTGGCACAGGGATGCATTCCTTTGAACTCTACGGGACAATCTTTATCCAGGTTCCAACAACACAAGGTACAAGAAATTCTTTAATCCTGCAAAGGCCTCAATTAGACTTTTGATTGAACCACTGCAAAAACCTAAGTCTTGCTGCCATTTTCATAAGGGTGTTAAACAGGCAAGGAAAACCTGTAATCAACTAAGACGACGACAAAGGTAATGAAAGCACTTTGATTCCATAACCTCCGCTTAAAAAACGACTGATAACCTTAAAAAGTGTTGCAGCTGTGTTTGTGCTTTAAATTACATTCCCTTTATTATGGTTGTTTATGGAAAAGCCACCACATAGAGTACTGAGCTTTAATACGGAGCTCCTGATCACTTAAGGGATAAAAGCAATTCAGAAAAAATAAAAGAAACAAAAAAAGGACAAGAAACCCTCAAACATGCAGTGGGTTTAAAATGGGACTTCTGCGGTTCATTCGATTGACAGTTTCAAAGTTAAGCTTGGAGCTTGAGTGGAAGAAACGCATGCACACAGTAGGTCGCAAGGCACAGGGTTAAGGGACATGGAACAGGTTTCTCGAACAGCCACAAAGCATGGATTTGAAGGCACAAGTTCAGTATGCCACATGGGGTTCTTCTGGGGATCTTTCCATAGAAGATAAAAAAAAAGACTGCAGCCACGAACTGAAACCCCAAATGCAATGACTTAAAGATACGAGTTTCAAAACAAAAAAGATGCATTAAAAAAATGCAACTTGTTGTTACTGGCGATTAGAGGTGTGCAGAAGTGGGGAAAATATGCCACATAAGTACAATTTCTGTGGCGGGGCAGAACTACAATGATCTTTTTTTTCTTTCTTTTTTTACAACATTAGAATGGACAGATGCACTGAAGAAAATACAGTTGCAAACCTTTACAGGCAGGAAGAAAACTTACATCCTGATGATACAAATGTTTGTGGTTGATTAAAATTAAAATCATTAAAACTTTTTTCTGCTAATATGTTGAAACCAGACAATAAAAAATTTATCACCATATACAATAGGTATATTAATTGTGTCACCTGTCTTACAACTTCAGGCAAATTGTTTCATTCATTAAATTTTTTTTGCTGAATTGTCATGGTCACCCTATACTTAAACCCACAGTGAGGCGACAATTTTAAGCTAGTTCTGTAGAACACAACCCCGCTTCTCCTTTAGCCTACGAAACACGAAACGCGCATTGGACAGGAAACTGGACAACCGGCCGAACACATAAGGTAAATCAGCTACAATCATCTTTTTTATTAGAAATCTTAAATACTACCGAAATAAAGGGGCTATACAGATCCACAGAAAAGACATGCTTTTATGACGTTTTACAAATTCTCCATATTTTGAGCAGAAATCTATCATGGGCATCAACATACAATACCTTTTTTGCTCTTATCAAGAGTAATTATTAATGTGTAAATCAAGTCTTTTTTTTCGGTTTAGATTCTCGTTTGTTGCGTAGGATAATCCCAATGGGCAGTGAATCACTACAGTCTGAAATTAACACACAATTAAAACGTCAGCTTCATGAGGATGTTTTATAAAAACCTCCATTTCAAAAATCCTGGAAAATTTTCTACTTTTAAATGAAATTTTTTTTCCACTATTAAAAAAAAATAAAAAAGAAACACAGAAAAAACTACTATAATTTTTAATAAACTCCCTTTGGTAAAAACTGTAATAAACTGTCATACAATTTAGCTTTTTATATATACTAACTTTAGCCACCTCTCACTAAAGTCCACTGAAAGCTTGTGATGCAGGCTAACAAATCAACGCAGATCTCTATAATAATAAAAAAAGGTTGCACTATATACAGTTCATTTACAAAGAGTGAGCATTGTGTGGGTTCTATAAGTTATTGACCATCCCCATTGTTTGAGTGTTCTAGCTGATGTGCTGATTCTCAGGTCACTGCCAGAACCTTCAGAAAGTACTGCATCATGGAGGTCAGTTAGTTTTGATTATACATATCAGAATATATAACTGTCATATTGACATTCACAAGCTATACAATTTTACAGTGTGTGGCCAGTAATTACTAAAGTGAGACTATGTTTTTACATTAATTGCTATGGATAGCGCATCTACTTAGACCAAGTCTGATTTATAACAGATGTATTAATGCTGCCTCTGAAAGAGCAGTAACACCATGAGACTTAAAAAAAAAAAAAAATTCATCCCCTGACATAGAAAACAGCAAATAGCACAGGGATATTGCTTGTGTTGTATCTCCATCGTGTCTTTTAATTCTCCAAATAAGCTACTTGAATACTTCTATGGGGAAAATCTTAATTTGGTAACACGCGGGCCAGAATGTTAAGTGCATCTTTCAGCCAATTATTGTATTGAGCCAGAAGTTAAAGTAATAATTACCTCGTCTTTTTGCAGACAAAGTGATGTTGATGGCTTCACACATGAGGCCTGTCAATTAAAAGCCCCTCACACCTCCAGCGACATGACATCACGGCCCTTGCCTGCATCACAGCGCAGCCAGGGGACCCAATGGACAAAACATCCTGCATTTTTTCACTACCTACCGCAGAGCACCTGAAGTTACCTAGACCTGTGACCTGGGTTCAAATCTGGTATGCAGCCATATCTTATGCCAAGAGAATCTGCAAAAAGAGTTGGTGGGCGTTCAGTTCAACTGGAGGAGTCCCGTGTTTTGGCACAGAGGGCCCGTTATAAGCGGGCACAGCTAAAAGGTCATTAAAGATAAAACTGTGAAAAATGTGACACCAGCTGTGGCAACCAGATCTTTGTGTTTTTTGCTGCGGTGTTGGTGTACAAAGGACGGCCCAGCCCTGGCTCCGCCAGCCTGTCCGCAGGCCCTAACAGAGACCCACAGAGACCCACCCCTTGGCTTCCCAGAACACCTGCTGGCTACGGAGCTTTGCAAGGGGCCAGGTATTTAACGCGGTATTTGTTGATGCTCATGAAGTGGACGATTTCCGGCTCTCGGGTGGTGGTGCAGGGCAGCAGTCCCTCGCGGCCCTCTCCCATCAGCCACCTGCTGCAGCCGGCAGCCATATCCGGGGTCACATGCTCCTTTACCCACTCGTCCACCCAGGCCTGGAAGCGTCGGTGAAGCCGGGTGCTGACCCTCTGATGTGACTGTGGAGAAAAGTCCCTCATTAACATTCAGGCAAAAGCGGCAACCTTAAAACCCAACGTTGAGTGCATGGGGTCACAGTGACAACAGAGAATGAAGTATGGAGCAGTGGTGGGCAAAAATCGCGATATTTTATCATAACCGGTGTACCCATGATACATTTCAGAGGTGTCACAGGAATTGTGATCCAGAACTATATTTACTTTTCTTTAGCAGAAAAACAAATAAATGACCTAAGCACAAGTAAGGCAAATATCAGGCCAAGATACGGACAGTCTGTTTGAGCACATTGCCCTCAGTTGCAGTGTCTTCCACATGTTGTGTCTTACTGACACAAAACTAGGGCTGCTACTTACAACTATTTGTATAGATTAATCTATCAATTTGATCAGTTGGTCGATTAATCTAAACATTTAATCTTCCTCCAGAAAATCAACTTGATCATTTAAGTTAATTTTGACAAACTCTCACTGCAGGGCTTTAGATAATGGATGCTGGCTTTATGGCACTATATGGACATTATTTTTGACCACAATTTGATAAGCATATCAGTAGCATGCCTAAAAATTAGGAGTGTAATGGTATATTCCTTGCTAATGAAAACTTTCTGTAGAGGTCTTTCAGTTTGGTAAACATATATACTGAACGAATGCAACAAATGTGGAACTTTGTGTGTTTCTCCCGAGCGACAATGCTGCACCATAATGGATATTTATTTTGTTATGCTTTGTATTTAAGATGATATGATATGAGATGCTGCACTGTTGTAATCTGAAGCTGAAGACTGCTAATGTTAATACAGTACAGATCAGGTACAGTTAGCTTTCTAAATGTGTACCTTAATGGATATTTTATTTTTATTTACTTGAGAGAATATTTATTTTAATTTACTTTCAAATAAATATTAGTTTTTTAGGTTGCAGCAGTATTAAGAGAGACTTAAGGACGACAGTCAGTCATGCTTCATACGTTTAGCAAAGGAAAAAAGAAGCAATTTGTTTTGTTTCTTTTACCCCTGCTGTACCGAAAATGTAGAGTAACTTCAAAACCGAGGTACGTAAGTATGTATGAATGAGATGCGTATAGTGATGCCCAAAAGTTAATAATGTCTAAATTTGCGTATCCTCATGCTTAACAAATTCGGTTAGCGGAGCACGTCACATGCGACAAGTGATAAGCACTGAGATCGCGGTGAAAGATGGCACAGATCAGCAGCCACAATCTTTTAAAAGAAAACATACTGGGGTAAAACAAGGTAAAAAGATGGTGGTGTGGCGGTAATTTTGCAGAGTATAGTCTGACAGTTTCTTTTTTATAAATATTTTGATTTCAGTTCACAAATTCTTTTATTTAGTGTCCATTTTCGTTTCAGTTTTAGTTTACGAAAAGCACACACTGGCACAGTCAATCAATGTAGAATAAGTGCAGATTTTAGCCTAAACATTTTCAAAAACAGATTCTAATGTATCAGGCAGACAACTTCATGGTTTTAATAATTAGGTAATTTGGCGGTTACAGGGACAAAAGATATTAAAAACGTCTCCATTCTAATGTTAATTTAACAAACACGTATAAACAGCACTTAGGGTGGTTTTGCCTACTCTGGCAGACCATCATCCAGAATAGAGCCTGAGCATTTCCTCTGCAGGTGCTCATGCATAGCCCTACACAAAGCTATCGCACTTTGCACTGTGAAAAATCACCTTTCTGTTATCTGATAATTTGAACTACTCCCATAATTATGCAGTGATATAAAATGAAAACATTTGATATAATGAACTGAAGAAATCATAAAAGTGTTTTTTTTAAAAGATGCGCCGATTTAAAATAATTATGTTGACGCATTCTCAGCATCGACATCCGACTACAACTAATTGCGACAGCCCTACACAAAACATTTAAAATGTTACATTTAACTACATTTTTAACATTTTACATTTAACTACATTATTGTTACATTTATTTATGCAGGATTTTGCATAGAGAATTAGCATAGAGAATTATGAGGCGGCCGCAATTGCAATTGCAGCATTCATTACCGAAATGGTGTCTCTGTATTGTAATCAGCACAGTGAAAGTGCAGACTTCTTCCGATAGGCAGTTAAAAGTAATAATTCATGTTACCAACGAGATGCAGCCAATTTGTGCAAGAGAAGGGTCAATGCAAGCGTATTTAGTCGCCAAGTCACAATGTGTGCATTAATGCAAAGTCTACATGAAGAGGTTTTATAAAATGAAAAATTCTGCCTCTGGTTCTGAACTATGTAGATGAACAATGGCTTTAATGTGATAATCAACTGCCCTTTTGGAGCAACATATTGCTTGTTGTGTATATTTATGTTCAACTACACAACAGTGCACATTTACATGTACTGTAAATGAAAATAATGACTTAGGCTAAATTTGATTTTAAACAACTTTGCTGTTTGTTAAATATTAACACATTGCGTTTATGCTGCATTTAAAGTTTAACATGGAACTTTTTTAATAAAATAACGCATTAATGTGATAATGGCCATTTTCTTCAATCATTAGAACTCCTAAAATACAATTTGTAAAAACTGTTTCTTTGAGCCAATGGAAGGTAATGTACGTGTGCACATGCGTGTGAACAGTGTACACATGACCAGGATGGTATCAGCTCAGCCTCATTCTGAGCAAAGAAAAACTGTTATCGATTATTTGCTTGCTTTTGTTGTAAACGTAGTTCAGAACTGGCCAGTTATTGACCAGTGATAAATTGTCATTTACAAACAAGACTATTTGGGGAAAAAAATAATTAAAATTCACTTTTACTACGAGTCTTTTTTTATATGGACCGTATTTTATGTAACCTCCTGAGACTCCACCTATTCATTTATGTCCATTGTAGTGGACATGTTGTTTTTGCATCTATCTTTTCACTGATGTAAGGAAACATTTATTCCTGTTGTACACTAAAGAGGATATTCTGTGAAATGAAAAATAAAAATAAATTTGAAAAAATCTAAATTGTAAGATGTCTTATTTCCTCCAAAAACAACCTATAATTGAAGGACACTTTTTTCCTTGGGTCTCAGGAGGATCTCTTAATAATTAAGTATGTTACAAGCAGTTTCTCTTGTAAGGTTTGTCTTGCTAGCTAAGTGGTTAATTAACATTCCTAACCACACCACCAAAAAAAAACAAAAAAACACACACCCCATGATCTATATCGTGGCCCATGGGTATAACAAAACGCATGGCGATATTATATTTTGGCCATATCGCAAACCCCTAGCGTGGAAGGTGATGCTCACCTGGTGAGCCCGCAGAAGGGCGGTACGCCTGTACATGTAGTCCTCTGACTTGAAGACGTACACCATCTTGTAGGAGTTCAGCTTAAACATGCACTCCATCTTGAGGTTTTCGGCGCCCTCGGGGGGCTTCTTTCCACCCTCTTTAGCCTCCTTCTCCTGCTGTTCCTGCCCCCGTTGGTACTTGCGTATGCGACGCAGATTCCTAGTTTAAGGGGCGGTACAGAAGCTGGCATAAACACACGGGCAATGATGCCGATTCCCTCTGCAAGTGCCTCTAAAGGAACTCAGGCCTGAAGATTGGTAAACTTCATTGGATAGGGAAGGGAATTGGAGACAAGCTGAAACAAGGACTCATTCATGTACGGCACACTTCCAAATTCCATTGCATAAGGACTTACATTTGGTAGCCCAGGAAGCAAAAAAGTGGTACTGATTTTTCCCCCACTCCAAGTAAACAGAGACAATTTGCGTTTACTACACAGGCTATAGATGAGTAACAGCAAAACCCACGAATCACAGTTTGCATTCTGGCTTCTACTAAACCTGGCTGTAAACCATCACAGCAAAATATGAACACTTGCTAGCTGCCCACATGTTCACAAGTTGCATATTCGACCTGATGGGTATAAGGATCTCCAAAATTACAATAGTCTGAGGATAAAGAATGAACCCCTGCAGCTTTTGTTCAGACTACACTGAAAGTATTCAATGTCAGTAAACAACATTTGTGCTGCTACTTCTTAAACTGAAAAGAGCTAATGATTCATCTTGATTTACTTCAAAAAAGTTATAAAAGAACAAATATATAGAATCCAGTAGCAAAACATATAGGACAGAAGTGTGCAGAAAACAAAAAAAATCTTTTAATCCAAATATATAATTTTAACATTATGGAAAATAAAACAAGAAAGGGAAATTTTGAAAACTGCATCCAGCCAAGTGTCTAAACAAAATCACATACAGGCGGCATCATTTGGGAATAAATTTCACAGAAACATTTTATTTACAGGACCTCTATACAAGAAGTGCTGCAAGAAGGAAACCAGGTCAGAATGTTTCATGGTCAGTTTGTAGATGAAAAGCCCCAAAAAAGAGAAGAATGAAACCCACAGAGGAGTGACTGCACTGTATCTTCTCAGTCATAACACAGCTGGATGACATAGAATGAACTCAGATTTCTAATCACTACACAGCAGCACAAACACCTACGCGTAGATTTCACAAAAACTAAGTTTGCAAACAATGAATAACTTACAACAATGTAACTCAGGCAGAATGTTTGACTAACGTTATTTCTTGCCATATCGTTTTTGTACAATGCCTTGTAAACTGTAAAACTTCAGTGCCGAATGAGCTCAAATTGGGGCTAACTCAGGACATTTTTTTAGCTGGAAGATTAGTGTTTCATCTTTAGATAAGTGTCACATTTAAGGTTTAGCATAATGAGATGCAGAGTTCCAACTGATCATGCAACCTCAGTCTTACATACTTCCATTCCACACGCCCTTTAACCAGCCCCATCTCTGCAGCAATACACTCAGAAACTGTGACTGATTCCAGGTTACGAAGAGACACAGAGGGTCTGCCCGCAGGTATCCCCAGTGATGTAGGGGTGAGCTGGGCACTGATTGTCCTGCTGACAGACATGGCCAGACTCTCACCTGGGGAGGAAGACAGGTTTCTGTGCGAGGTGTTCTCGGAGCTCCGGTGAGGTGGAGTCGGAGTTCAGGTACCTCCCTACGTAATCGGACCAGCGCTGCAAATCAAACACGACAGGGGATTCTAATTAAGGTCCGCAGGTAAGAATAAGAAACCACCATAAGCTGTGTGAGACAGGGAGTCCTGAGGTCTGCCCGTATCTTCAGTGCCTGCAGAGGCAAAGCCATGCCAGGAAGCTCACCTCAGCTTCCATGGGCTCATCAGAGTTGTCCTCCTCTGTGTCGAGCAGGTCCACAGTCAGCTGTACGTGTCCTTTGTTCTTCAGGAACATCACCTGCGCGCAAAGGCAATAGAAGAGGTGAGTCTGTTTACACTACGGCAGTCAGCTGTTTCCAGCTGCGAATGAGCTGCCGCTGCTGTACCTTGAAGCAGTTCTCGTCGGACATCAGCTGCTCAGCCCGGCGCTGGTACGCTGCCTCCTGGGCTGCCCTGGAAGCCTGAGTGGACAGGGAGCCGCCGGTGGCTGCGTTCTGGCTCTCAGACAGGTAAAGGTCCGTCACCTGCACGCAAATCTCATCGCTCACAATATGCTGCAGCTGGAAATAAAGAAGAATCCACTGAGTGTTTTGCCTTGTAAAAAGCTGAAAGAACCTGTAATCAACTGGAAAAAAAGGATTTATCATGAAGAGGAGATCCGCTAAGCCACCAATTTCTGAGCTGCACAATAACGATCAACTACAATTCCTTAAAAAGCACGTTCCACGGTACATTAGCCAGGAAGACTTTTTCTTGTGTCACCTTGTATACAGCATATCTAGCAAGCTGCAAGGTAAGTGATGCAGGCCCTCACACTCAAAATGTGTCAGTGTAACCATGGCTCTATTAGCAGACTTCAGGAAACTTGATATACCACAGCAAGTAGCATGAAGACAGAGGAATGCATTCTGTAATTAATCAGCACAGAGGAGTAATTCACACTGGGTGCATCTAGGGTGTACTGACCTGCCTGACAATGCTCTGGATGAGCTTGTCCATGGTGAAAGCCATGTAGGCATGGATAGTGAACATCTCCCGCAGTGAGTCCTCGTACTGAGAGGCATCCATATTCCCATCGAGAAGGTTGCGGACCATCTCCAGGAACGCTGAATAGTAGTCTTCCACCTCAATGTCCACTACAAGCAGGACGGACAATGTAAGTTACATGTGGATGTATAAATTAGCCGGAAATAATTTAATAGTCCAGCAAGAACAATTACGAGAACAACTCAAGCAAACAACTGCCTCACATAAGAATTGTAATACTGCATAAGATCATTTTCTCACGCTGCACAATAGGAACCATTCTTCTGACGTAACTTTTATCAGATGTTTGGTACATATTAAAGTGAACGGCAGCGTATGCGGCCGCGGGTTCCACCGGTACTCACTGGGCTCCTTCAGTCGCAGCTGGACAGCCGGCGTGTCATTCTTGTCCCGTTTGAGGCCCAGCACCTCGCGTTCCCACGCTCTCTCGCGGCACTCCTCCTCGATCTGGCGCTCCGCCTGCGTGTAGATGCGCAGAAGCCGTGCGCACAGAGTCTGGTGCAGCCGCAAAAAGATGTACCAGTTGTTGTTGACATAGAAGAGGTTGTATGCGTCGTCCGTGGAGCGCAGCTTCTGGGCTCCCGTGCTGCCGAAAAGGAGCTTCGACTTGGTGGGGCTCCCCCCCGAGCCGCCGCCCACGCCGTTGTGCTTCTTAGCCCCACCCTCATCCAGCTCTGCCTCCTCCTCCTCCTCTTCCTCCACATCGGACAGCTCCCCACGCTGGGCGAACAGCATGTCGGGGATGAAATGATGGACCACCTGCTTGATCTTGTACTTGTCCTCTTTCTGAATGCCGGTCTGCCTCTTGACGTGATGGATGATGAGTGCAGCAGCATCCTCCAGGATCTGACTGTCCTCGTAGGTCAGGCTCAGGTGTGGGCCAGCATTCTCCTCTGAGCCCTGCTCTTGGCGCTGCGGGGCAGATGAATGACTGACTAGTAAATAACCCCAATGCAAAACAATTCAATATAATTACATTCTTAAGGCCTGATCTTGAAACACAAGTGAGTGTTTTATGACCGCAACCACCCAGTAGAACTGCAATACCCCACTTTCCACCAACGCGGAGCAGAAGCGGTACAGGAAAAAAAATCCTGCCCTGGGCGACTGCAGGACGGCGCCACAGAAAAGGTGGTCTCAGAATTTGGAACCGTAACATCAGCAAAAGCGAGACAAGCTATCATGTCTAAACTTTCCCATAAAAGTCATTCCGTAAGCGATATAGTTTTGTCTAATACTGCTGGTGCCAACACAAACAACTTGCCAGCTTATTAGCAGAATAATGGTACTTTTTTTTTTTTAATTCAGTTAAATACTAAAGATCAATGTACTGGTCAGATTTAACAATGAATTATAAATATGTCGCAAGTTGAATACATAGCTAGAGTAGAGATCATGGGGCAGGCAGCAAAGCTCGACTTTTAGCTGGCTCTTATCGCATGATCCTTAAAAGGACAGTGGTAAAACAGCGAATGAGAATAAGTCACATGCAGATGGGTGAGTCTTTACGGAGACAGAAGTGAATACAGGCAACAGAGAGCGAGCACAACTTGTCATACTCTGAAAAATATGAGACTTAAAGGCTCATTTTTTTTTTTTGGTACGGCAGCTTATAAAATTTTCAAACAAATCAAAATAAATCCAAAAAAAATTTCATATCAACCAATACTTTAGTATCACTTCCAGTTACATAATGTTTCCATTCCGTTTTTTTTTTTGGTGGTAACACGGATTGGTTCTCAAAAGACATTAAGCGAGAAGCAGCCCAGTACCGGCACCAGGTCATCATGATGATGCTTTCAACCTCCATAAAAACCTTAACAGTCATAAAGTAGCAAAGGAGTTCTCTAGAGACCCATTAGATAGAGCATATAGGACTGAATTCTTTAGTTTAGATGAATTTATTATACACTGGAAAAATCAGTATTCAGGTGAAAAATGTGAATTCATTAACTATGGAGTGGTACTTCTTTTTTCTCATTTCACCTGGAAGGTCAGGCGGCCCCATAGTTTTCGAAATTCTCTCGTACCTCGTCATAGATGCTCTCGATCTCATTCAGCAGCGTTTTCGATCGCAGGACCTTGGTGTCATTCTGCTTGAAGTTGATGCCCTGATGGTCCAGGGACTTCAGGTAGTATTTCTCATTCTGCTCCCTCCAGATCTTGTTGAATCCCCTCTGCGCTTCTCTCCACTCTTCTTCCTTAATCTTTAACCTGAACAGCATTTTTATTATTAACCAAAGCTAATAAAATGATGCACATACTAGGCTTGCATATAAAAAGCAGATTGCGTCATCCCGAAAACTGGAAACCTAGCCATGCTCTTTTCAACAGAAACTCCAAAAAGTTTTAGGCTCTAACTTCTAAATTAATTCATCATTGAGGTCAGTCAGATTTTAGAATAATGTAGCAAAAGATAAAGTATGTGCAGGCCGAAACCCATTTTCCCCCCAGAATTTTTAAATAATCTCCTTCAATTCTTTCTTGAATCTTTACAGTTCAGTGCTGGCATCCCGCTTTTACGTGGCTAACGTGCCACTGGAGCTGCCCTGGGCTTTAGCTGTGGGGTGAAGCGCCTCACCTCTTCAGCACAATCGGCACAGAAACCGCGGGGTTCTTTTTCAGACCATCAATGATATCAGGAGCCTTGTCCCCGTATATCCTCTGGACAGCTTTGCGGTGGATGACGTCAGACGAGCCGCCCATGGTGTTATCCAGGCGAAACTTGGCCTGTTCCTCGGCTGACATGCGGGACAGCTTCTTCTGCACGGCCTCCAGCACGCGGATCGTGGCCAGGTTAGTCTCCAGCACCACGTCCAGCTGTGAACAGAAGAGCTTCAATACTCCATGCAGATATAAAGCACTGGTCTTGAGAACTTGTTTATAGTTTTCACATATTAACCAAAAAAATAAATAAATGAATAAAAATACGTATACAAAGCAAAACAATGGGGGAAAACACATTTCTTGAATTTATGATTCACTAGTTTGGTTACCTCAAAGCGTTCGTCTTCGCATCTGTAAATATGCTCTTCGTACTGGGTCTTTTTGGAACTGACGAAGGTGGAGTCCTCAGACCAGGAGGGAAAGGACACCCAGGTGTCATTCAGCACCTGAATGGGTCGCGGTACAAACAGGCCTTGTTAGCGCCTCCTGAGCCGCCGCAGGGGACACCAGTGAGAAGACACATTTTACACTCAAAATTCTCTCACACACAAGAACAGGGCACTTGGCAAGTCTCTCTGCGGGGAGGCCAAGATGCTGGCCCTCGGAGCTGGGTGACAGCCTTGGTACTCTCCCACCTGTTACTCCCTCGCATGTGCCTGTACGCCAGTATTTCACTTTATTCTTGACAGCAACCCTCAGACTAAAGACCCCTTTAGCTTAAACCTGAATTCCCAGAACACCTCTGCATTCTCTGTGCAAGCAGTGTCCTTGCTTCCGAACTAAAATATACATTTTATGCGTTTTTAGAGTAAAGGTTTGGTTAAACATTTTCATTCCAACTCCATGCCTGGAAAGGGGTATCCCAAAAAAAATTGTCCTTTCAGAAGCTCCTGCCTGACAATGGGCAGGTTTACGTGCAGGGCTCACCTCCTTACAGAGCGGCGTTCTCCCTGTGCACCGCGGTTGCTGGTAACTCTTAGGCAGTGCCCTGTAGCTGGAGCCAAGCCTCTTACAGGAGGCATAGTCGATCTCCATGGCGATGCCCTCAGTGGCTCGCTCCTTAGGGAAGCTCTCCATGTGGGAAGACTCCCTGTATCCCAAGAAGTTCTTGAACCAGTTGAACAACTCTGGGAATTTTCTATTTAAAAAATTGTGCACATGCAACATAATTTTAACAGTATGTCCAGCAGTAAAACATTCAGAAGCAAAACAAAAATATATTAAAAAATTGTTACGATGGCATATTTCCAAAAAAAAAAAAAAAAAAAATTTCCAAAAAAAAAAAAAAAAAAGTTAAAGAACTTGACAAAATACATTATCAAAGTGCAAATAGTGTAACAGAAGTGGATAACCTTCATACAGAAATCCAATGTCAAACTACTTTATAGTCAAAGTCTTCCTGCATCACAATGCTGCTAAAGAGTTTAGTTGCACTTTGTTTGACACTCACCCCAGAAAGGGCAGCACGAGCTGCACCAGCTCTGCACGCGATATCACCTCCTGGTTGAAGATGTCCAAGCAGCGCAGGAAGTTCTCGTAAGCCTCGGAGCTGCGTAGGGCCTTCCGCACCTGCAATGCACACAGCTGAAAGACACCTGCACATGCCTACGCATATGGTGCACTGAACGGGCACATTTACACGAGAAAAGCACACTGTGCATGTGATCTGTAGTATGAAGATGAAATAGATTCTGCAGTTCGTCTTCCTCAAGCTCCTTTTACTGCACTTTCTATTTTATGTGAATAGTACTACATCTGTTACTCATCTTGACTGTGCCATTACCCATCTAATTGTCTATCGGTTCTTCATTTGTATACACTTCTTTGTACTGTGGGAGACTGGCTGACCGAGTAGCTCTGCACTGCATGTGTCACACATTGAAAATAAAACATTTCGAGTCTGGGGAGTGGATTAAAGATTACAGTTGGTAAATGGTATCAAAACAGCAGAATACGTTAAGCTGTGGGATCCCTGCTCACCTTCTCAAAAAAGACAGACTCAGTGCCGATACCATGTTTACCGACTTCTGCAAGCGGCTGGTCTTTCAAACCCAGCAACTTGGGCTTCTTCTGCAAAAAGAGAGAGAAGGCATAGAAAAGATTAAGTGCTGAGGTGCTCGGTGGCAGCTGAACGTCTGGGCAAACTCATGTAAACCTACAGCATCTTCTGTGACCTGGCACCTACAAACACTACAGAAAGAGCAATGAAAGCCCACAGAAATGGTGCACATTATGGCGAGCAAACACAGTACACAATTCCAAAACAGGTCATTCACATCAAAATATAATGCCGTTTTCATCAAATTCACTGCCTGTAATATATGCACAAAAGGAGTTTCTGGGGTACATGACATGTAGAATTTTATTAAAATATGCAAATTCATAGCACAGAAATCTAGTGTGATTGTTAAATTAAACAGAGACAATTAGCTTGACACTGAAAGTATCTCCATTCTACCAGTGCAATGGTGAGGGAGTCTAGAAGACATGCAGCCGTTCTCTACCAGGGCCGAATATATCAGTCTGCAGAGAAAACTGGCCAATATTAAAGGTTCCACAACTTTACTGGTACAAATTTATCTGTGAAAAACAAGCATTTTTAGTACAGAAAATGTGTCTTTAAACACATATGATATGAAGTACGAGAAGCTGTCATTATAAAACATAGCCTAGGGATCATTAGTAAGTTCAGTTCAGGGTCACGCCATAACAGAACGCGTGTCTAGTTATATATGAGAAAGACCAAAGTAATGTCCGACTGCCCTGAGTTTTACTATTAGTGGTCAGACTTGCGTGGCATGAGAGACAGACTCCCCGCGTCCAACATGGATTTTACAAAAACAAATAAAAACCCACAGCTACCTAAAGGCACAAACTTGCTAGCATTCCTACGCAAGACAAAAGAAAAGGATGTGAAGAGACAATACATTACAGCTAACTCCCTGGGTACTCTACAAACAAACACCATGAGAGTGAATAACGAAAGCTGCCCAAGTCCTACCATCCAAGGGGATTTAACCCACGAATGGTAAAAGCCAGATACACAATACCAAGTCGAGCAAAACCCAGAAAGGCTTAGGCAGAGTTAGAGCCCACAATCATACACAGTTATACATGACATGAAAGAGGTGCTAGTCATGGTCAAAGTCTTTATAACTGAATGTGGTTCTAGCCTATGGACACAGTTCATTTGATAGACATTAAGAACAGAAGTCAAACCAGACAATACTCTTTAAATGTGCCTGGCTGAGAACTCATTGAAAAAGTTTGCATTAACTAAAGGTTAAAGGTTAAATTATGAGGTGCCTTTTTTATAATACTTAGATTAAGATTTAGATTAAGACTTTGCCAGTTCCTGCTCTTTGATACATCAACGCAAAAGATACTGTTTAAAAAAAGCTATAGGTGAGTCACTTTTTTTTAATCATATAAAATTATCGGCTGATATTATGTGAATTTTTATCTGCTTCATATTGGAAACTAAGTCTTAACATCAGTTGGGCCCTCGTCTGTGCTGCAATCTAACCATGAGCAGCAGCACATTCACTCTTCGCACCGGCTGGTGAGCTTACAGGCTTGATCAGTACCAGAGTTTTACACCATTAAGATGGGTAAGTATTAAGACTCATACAGCAGTGCCCATACAGTGTGTATAAGGTGCAGTTTACCTTGACAGGGGGCGTGGTGACGCCGGCAGAGTGCCTTCGCATCTGGCAGCCGTTCTGACTGGGCCGCTGCTTATTGTTGAGTTGTGGCTTCTTCACGGTGCCCCCGTGGTCGTTACGTACAGACTCCACCTTCTCCGCTGTCGTCTTACTTAACAGCTGTGAACGGGGACCGGCAACAGCAATTAGACATGACCTTTATATCCAGAGCCACCTGGCATTCACGCACTGCTGGCCTTCTTAACTAAAGACCATCTTGAAAACCTGGAATGTAATTTGCAAACTAGTGCAATATTTGACAGGTGACTAAATGTGCCCATTTATTTTAAGTAGAAGCAGTTTTACATGGATTCCTGTACAAGTAATATAATCAGCACCTGAAAGAACTCAAATATGGTGTTGGGGACAAAGGGGCTTCAGTTATAAGCTACATGATTAGTCTCAGCTAGGAGTCTAATAAATGAACTTCATCTCCACGCAACAGGACAAAAGCTAGACTCACCACAGAGTTGTTTGCATCTGGCAGGAACTGGCCAAACTCTGAGAGCAGGTCCTCCTGGTTCTTGAAGAGGCGCGCAACCTGGGCATAGACCTCCTGCTCCGTTAGGGCTGGTGTGTAGTTCCCTCCAGCCTCCTTGGCGTTGCGCTGCTCCTTCTGCACAGGAAAGCACATGGCATTAACGGAAGGGCTCCGAGCCGTGTGAGGGAACAGAAAAGGGAGACTCACAAACCATGAGGAATGAACTTCCCTTTACAATTCAGAATGCTTTACAAAGGAATCACATGTCCTGGCTTGGCGTCCCCATTGTCACGTAACGCAGATCACATACAACACACACACACACACACACAACACACAACACACAGGGGGAACCAATATCTGCATCCCTACAAGGCTCAAGTTCCCAGTACATTTTTAAAAAAGAAGCTGCAAATTGGCAGCCAGTAAGAACAAAGCACAGCAAACTCAGGGCCGACCTGATACGTGTGTAAGATCTCCAGGAAGGATTTGTAGATTTCAGGCTGGCCTTGGAAGCGGTTCTTGATCTTGTTGACGTAATTGATGGCGTGGTTGAACTCCACCGGCTGGTTGTTCTGCAGGACCGGGGCACCAGTTGGAGTGCTGCTGGCCGGAGTGTGGGGCTGCATGGGGGGCGAGCGGGGAGAGGCGTAGGGCGGGATGGAGGGGTTGGGTTGGCTGCTGGGCGTCAGGGCTGGAGACTGCAGCGGCTGAAGAGGGAACGACTACAGTGAAGATCCACTTGGCTGAGGCAAACAAGCAGCCATCACGGACAGATGATACTATACTTTCATCATACATGCTAAACACAGTGGTAACAGAAGTATTCCTCATCACTTCATAAGCAATAAAGAATCATCGATACTTCTCTTTTTACAACTTCCAGAGAGCCACCATATCACTGCTGTAAAAGCCAGTGGTGGCTTCTCTCTGCTGGCTGGTGTGTTGTTTTAAGTGCTCAATCTAATCAGTATTAGCCGTATTATATATAAATAAAAAATAAAAAAAAACACAAAAGGTTAACTTGCACAGGCAAAATTCAAAGAGTAATAAAATATTAAAAGAATCAGTCAACATTTTTTACTGAGGTTATGTAGATTCTAAAGGGTGAAATTAATATAAACCAATACCAGTTTCAGTGACTTATGTTGTTTCAATTCAATCTTAAGTTACCAAATACTAAGCTACATACAAGTACTTCACCCTACTACAATGTAAAAATTACAATATTTTGTCAGTAGAAGTGGATAAAAAATACTTGCTTTATTCTAAGTACGGCAAAAAAATATTAACTGGATTCAAATTTACTTAAAATCAGAAAGTTCTTCGTAACACAAATCCAATGAAAAGCAGTCAGAAAAAGCCTTTAATTTTAGAGCACAATATGTGCAGTTTATCAATTATAATCCACAGGAAATAAAAAGTATTTAAAAGTACCTGATGAGCTGAAAGGCACTGTTGCTATACCTTTGAGTCCTAAACCTGCATTGTACTGCCAATCATCTATTTGATTGGGTGTTTTAACAGAGATGAGTACTTGCCACTGGTTGTTTTTTGTGATTTTCAAAACTGAATAAATAATTTGGTTAAAATCACCTGCTACTCATATAAAACCTCCAAGAAGGAAAAAGTGTCATCCATTCATTCAGCAACCAATAAACTGGTTAAGAATGTACAGTAGGTTTCTGCACTGTACAATGCATTCTGTATTGTACCACGCGTTCTGCATTTCTGCAACATGCATTCAGACAAAAACTAGACACATGACATCAGTTGAAAACTTGTTAAACGACATTGTGACATTCCTGGTATCCAAAGTGTCAGCCAATGAGAAAATGTGGGGAAGCTGCAAAGATATTTAGTAGGAGAGGAAACTGACTATTTTACGTATATACTGTAGTAAAGAGGAAACTGTAACATTAGTAAAAAGTGAAAAACTGAAGTAAGGTCATAGCTTAAGGTTCTACTGTACCATGAAACATCACTATAATATAAAGCAGTGCACCTCACCTTAGTCATTTTGGCAGGTGTAGGCTGGGCAGGGGGAGGGGGGGCTGCAGTACTGGCTGCGGCAGCTAGGTGAGACTGATGCTGAGGGGGGGTCACAATGGGAAGGTTCTGGACGGAGATGCCATGGGGGGTTATGTGGTGGATCTGCCCCGGGGTCGTGACGTTCACCAAGTCGTTGGTTTGCACCTCTATTTTGTATCCAGGAGGCAGAAATGTGTTGAATCCCATAATGAGGTCAGGGTGACCCTTGAAGAGCTGAGACACCCTGCTGATCACCCCTGGAGTATCAATGCTATAGGCACAAAGCAACAGCAGTGGGGTATCAATACGAGTATCAATACTGTAGCTACAAAGCAACAGCAGTGAGCACTCACTCATTTTAATGCACTACAGAATGACAATTACAGCACTTTTACTTGCAAGATTTTTTTTTATTAAACCCAGCAAAAATCAGCAAATACAAGATTGTCAGAAATAAATAACCCTGCCAGCACCATTATCTCACTGAAGAGGGTACATCATTCTTATGAAAACCAAATCACTACAGGAAAAGTGGAAAAACATTTAAAATGACACATCACCTTTGAGATTTGAACTCCTTCATGATGTCAAGGAAGTCATTGTATACTTGAGGTTGACTTCCAAACTGCAGCTTTACCTGGTCCAGGTAAGACAAAGCATCTTCTACCTGCAAACGAGAGAGACCACCTTCCATAACTTACAGCACAGATTCCAAAACAAGCCAAAATTTATTTTTTTCATTGCTATGCTGTTTGCCCAATAAAACGTTATATGGTAGATACACTTAACATGTATGAATCAATCACGAACAGCCAAAGTATTTAACACAGATCAGGCAGAAAACCCCTTCAATACAATATTGTGTGAAACATTTAAAAGCACAGTAAAACCAAAATGGCATATTTTATCCAAACATACTGCATTCTGCCTCCAGACTCCTGCGTTCACCAGTAAAATATGGGTCATATTACCTAACAACCTTGGCCGTGGTGGTGCAAGTTTCAAGCTGGCCAGGCGACTAAGCTCAGAAATTACTGGGCCCCTGCCCTTCATTCCCTTTCCAACACAGCACTTAGGCAAATTTATAAAAATTAAGGACCAATTACGGTGCCCAATGAGTTATCAGAACATCAGAGCGAGTTTGACAAAAATACGTTTACAGTGAAGGGATGGGTGAGTGTGAAGGAAGACATACTGGTGACAATCAGAATCGATTGTTTTCAATAAAGCCCAAGCTCTATTGAGTTGGGGCCCCCAACCTTTTGATATCTGTAAACTGGTTAAGGCCACACAAAAACAACTGGGGTGTGTACCGACGGTTTGATCATCAATTTCCTAAATTAAATTATTTCCAATTTTTGAGATGCGAACAGAACATGTGAACATATGGGGGTAATAAAAAATAGAAAATATTTAGTTTCTTTTTGGAAATTAACCAATTACTCCATAAAAGCACAAGTTTTCTTTGGCAAGTATTCCATTGGTACTGGTCCACGGACCAGGAGTTGGGAACCCCTATCCTAGAGTTCACAATGAAAGCGTCCAACAGTATTCTTATAGCCAGTTTTTCATTAGAATAATTATTTTGTCACTTGTACTATATTAATGATGCATCTTATTTTCCAAATTCAATAAAAAAAAAATAGACTGACAGACCAGAAAAAGTAGTGTGCATATTTTGCTTCTTTAGAAATCATGAGCACACACAAAGAGTGAAACACAAGCAGAGCCCATCCACAGTCATCTATACATAATCATGGGTCAAATAAGGTGCTTGTCTCATCAGTGTTACAATACAATTCTGGTGGTACTACAGACTGGAATGGATGATATACTGAGAAAATATTGTACTGTGATTATGAACATTTATATTGTCATTTTAAATTTCATGAGTATAGGGCTGCGCGATATATCGATGTTATATCGCGCATGTGCAATAATCACCAGGGCTTCAGATGACGGACAAAGCATTTGGCCAGATGCCAAATGCTTCGTCCGTATAGCTTTTCAGTGCTATACGGACAATTATTTATGCCTATAATTTGCTAAGGAGATTAGTAGTATAGCTTTAATTTATTAGTAAGATGTGTTTTGTGACACCCAAAAGTTAGTAATCTGTATAAACTTTATGTTTCTTAAATTCGACTAGTGGCACACCCCACATAATACTGTTTTGCTATACTACGGTTTGGTATACTACGGTTTGGTATACTACGGTTTGGTATACCCCGGAAATCCCGGTGAAGAAGAGCAGCCACCACATCTTTTAAAAGAGGAGATCTTGTGGATAAACAAGGTAAAAAGACGTCGGCGGTGTGATGGTACCTTTTGCAGTTCAAAGTCTGACACATTTATTAAACATAAGGATATGCTGTATTTATACGAATAATGACTTTTGGGCGTCATACAAAGCCTCATTAATAATTTAGCCATACTACTAAACTGCTTAAAATTGTGGGCGTAAATAAATGTCCGTATAGCACCGAAAAGCTGGCGTCCGGCCAAATGTTTTGCCCGTCATCTGAAACCCTGGTGATTATTGCACATGCGTGATGCAATATCGATATGATATCGCCCAGACCTACATGAGTATCGTGGTATAGTTGAAACACTTGTTTTCTTGAATAATTAGTAGTTATGATGTACTGTTTTTAAACAAATTCCATCAAGGTATGTCACCAGCATAATTTATCAGTATACTGGTCACACGCTCTATAACTATTGGTAAGACAATTTGGTTATCAGAATCAGAAAACTTCAAAACTGTGGTGAGTTCACTGCTCCCTATAAAAGAATTTTATAATATTGTGATAAATATCAACGCTGTGAAAGTTTCTGAAAATACAGTGATATCATTTCTAGGGCATATCACCCAGCCTTAACTACACTACATTCATAGGTGTCTGATTAAAAGTAGGTGACAGTCAACTGACACTCATACAAATTTAACCCCACGATGCCTAAATACATCTACATAATATTAGTATGGGAAGAAGCATGTCTGCTGGGCGGCCCCTAACCTTGAGTCTCTGGAACTGCTGCTGGCCCTGCATGGGGGCAGGGGGAGCTGGGGGGTGCGGATGGTTCTGCACTCCCTGAGCCCCATGTGTGCTGCTGGCAGGACTGTGGTGGTGTGCCCCACCATGTGCCACAGGCCCGGGGGGGTGCCCATGGCTGCTGGAGCTCTGGGCCACAGTGGGAACCTGTCGCACAAAGAGGAAGCACCAACTTATGTGAAAACACATTAAACTAAACGTGAAGCCTCTCGTTCAATATTACATAGAGAGTAATGGGATTTCCCTTCCATTCAAAAATGTAAATTCACCAAAGTGTAATAGTGAAGAGTGCAGTGTTTATGGACTCTACATGATACGCACCTGGTATGGTGGTGGCACAGAGTACTGGATGCTGGCACTGGGCTGCATGCTGTCCGGCACGGCCTCGTAGACAGCTGGCGCAGGGGCCAGGACACGGTGCTGGAAACCGTCAGTGCCACCTGAGAGCCGACGCTGCTGAGACGCAAAAACCGGTTCCTGTTCCTCCAGGCGCCGCTTCATTGTGGACGCATAATCAAGGGGGGGGCTGCGATACCTGACCGAACAAAGGTCAGTCAACAAGGCACTTAAGTGGCTGGTGGACTCAGAAGTCATGGGTAAGATGCTCCCATGCCATCATCCTAATCGCTCCAGAAGGTGGTCACACGTTCACAGCTGCAATACTCACTTCAATTCACAACTTAACTGCAAAACCACAGCCACATTAATGAACATTTACTTTTTTTTTTTTTTTTTTTAAAGAACATCCAAGACAATCGTTGGGGAATTTACAAAGCAAAATGAGCCTTGATCCTTGTTCCCACAAAGATGAAGTAGATAATCCACCATTGTTTCCACACCCAGGTTTTAATTGAAATGGTTAAACATGACATATTTTCTCTCCTCCTGTACCACATACAAATACGTACAATTAGATCAACAGATCAGCTGTAACTTTGACCTAAAAAAAAAAATCTTGAGTAAATGCTGCCCCTCTCAAATTAAGACAAGTAAAAAAAGAGCACATTACATACTGACATTATTTATGAGTGTTTAACTGACAACGTTATTTGTGATACGCAGTCAATTTCCCTAAAGAACTTGGTACTTATCAGAATAACAAAAATTGTTCAGATTTAACATAATTCGTAACTGCGACTGGATGAGAAACTGATGTATTTAAAAATATGTAAAAGTACCACAGCTGCAAGACTAAACAGCTGAAGACGGGTTTTTACATACAATTCGTGTTGAGGATATTTCTATAAGGTGGTGTAGTACATGGGGCCTCAGCAGAGTCCAGTATAACATAAAAAGATCTGTCAAGGAAAATTGTGAAAAACCAGCCATATAATGCACCCCGAAAGCCACAGGCATCATGCACCCTGCGTAACAGACCACTGCTTTAGAAACACCACGATTCTTCATTCCTGCATGTCCAAATAGTTTAAACTGTGGCCCAACAAACACTGGAACAAAATCTGTCCTTTATTGGACACGATGGATCCACACCTCGAAAAAAACGAGTTAAAGCCATCTAGTTTTGGAAACATCCTGAAGACTACAGCCACTCGAAGACCATTCATCTGCATGAAATGCGCGGATTTTATCCGAAATGCCGGTTTAGAAAAGCGACAACAAACGAGATAGCATTACGCCGTCGTAAAGTCATTTATGGCAAACTCAAAAAAACATGTTCTAAATTAAAATAACCCTAAGATATATTAAGAAATGTCGTACTAATGTTGCGATGGAACATTGTTAGTTGCCCAAACTGATACTCCTAGGGAAGGAAGGGCTTTAACGGCACAACTCCGGGTCTGATCTCACGTAGGACAATTTGATCTAAAATAGCTAAAGGGAGCCGGGCAATACGGCGGTGTCCGGCTTGGATTATGACCGGCCGGCCTCTTGCAGTGGACCGGAGCCCGTACCCAGCAGCGGAGACGGACCCAAGCTGCAGAGCCCGGTGACGTCACCGAGACGCCTCTGGCCGCGCGGCTGGGGCTGAGGGAGCAGCACATTTGTTACCCTTAAATTCCGAACCCGTTAAAAACTACACGTCGCCGCGAATATCTAGAATAACCATTATTAGGGGATAATCCGATTAATAAACAGCGATTATGTGCACCAATATTCACTTGCTCGAAGGCAGAAAAAGTTATTGTCGATCTCGCACAAATGCATCAGCCTACTCAAAGCTAAAGTCTGGGTCAGCGGCAGGCCAATTAATACTAGCTATCGACTTCAAAATTAGATCTGGCGAGCTAAATTTTTTTTTACAGTTGACGGACACGACAGGCTGCTTCATCTTATAGTGGATATGATGAACAACGTTAATGAATGTCCTTGCTTTACGACTTAATATTTATACTAGAGAACTGACTCAAAATCAGCTCCGTTCTGCAGTCAGCCAGTCAGACGGTATTACTAACAACAATCCCATACGATGTGATAGATGGCACCATCAATTCCTGTGTTTTTAAGTAGCTAGCCATCAGTAATCGCCGTCCGACACTTCCCCTCAAAGCTAACTAGCTAGCTAATCGGCACCGGTTACTATACTACGGAAAATGTGAACAGCACGTAGACCAGGAAATCACAGTAAACAGAATACAAAAACATGGACAAACAAATAAATTAGCCATCCGTTTCGCCCTACACGCGGTAAATCAAGTGAAACGCACAACAATGATTATATTGCCGGTCGTTTAAGTTGCAGAATCAACATTTACAGGTAATAAATGCTATCTTTAGCTAGTAGTACCAGCAGCAACTTGACTGCAGCATTTTTATTTTCACCCAAGAAGAACAGACAGTCCCCCTTTCGCCGCCCCCCTCGCTTTGCGGCCTGTCACAAAAGGTAGACGCCGTCCTCGAGTATCGCCGACCCGCTGGAAAAGCGATCCTTACGTTTCTCCAAGCAGCCGGAGATACATCAGCGGGACGACGTGCAAATTTACAGCCCGCTGATATGCGAGTTGGGAGAGATCGTACCTCAAAGCAGTAAAAAAAAAGAATAAAGTTCAACGTCAGGAATAATCACACACGGTAACAAAGCAGAATAAAACTAATACAAAACTACTTAGCAAGCTAGCTGGCTAATCCAGCAAGAGTTCAATGCGACGTTGACAAACAGGGCTGGGAACTATCGTGCTGTAACGGCGGGTCAGACTGCACATGTACATCAGAGACCGCCGAAAGGTCTCAAAAGACCAAGACTCACCGGCCAGCATCACTGGGTGAAACTCGCCCGTTACCCAGACTAACCACGTTGAATTCGCCGGACACTTTTAACGGTATTTTCCCGTTACAGCGAAGCTAGCAATTCGAATGAACTCACCTCCTCGTAACACTTGTGAACTGGGAACAACTCGTTGTCTATTTGTGTGTATATATATATTGCCTAAAACACTCCGGAGATTTAAAAACTGAAGACGCATAAGCGACTCTGCAGATAGGGAAATATACTGGTGTATAACTTTTAAAAGAAGCAAAATAATAAAATAAACAGCCAAAGCGCCACACCGCAAAAAGAAAATTCTCATCAGAAAACAACCTCCGTCCGTGTCTTGTCCTGGAGGCGTGGCTCTAGCAAGTTGGGTAAAACCCCGCCCAATTTCAAATGGCTATTGGATCAGATTCGCGAAAGAGGGGCGATCTCTCGGTATTGATTGGGAATCTCTCAAGCCAATCAAAGCTGAATGAAAAAAATCATAAAGAGGCGGGGACTCCTATCAGTTTTAGCAATCGTACAGCCCACTAGAAGCTGATAGGGAGACAGAATCACATGAAGTAAAGACAGAGCGAAGAGGATTGGTAAAATCTCTGTCGATCAATTTGAATTGATTACTTCTATATCTTGTCGCCAATACGCTGAACCTTTTCCCATTCCATTTTATGGCTTGCAGTAACGAAGGACTAAACGAAAATTGCGTTACGTTGTATGCGTGTCATGTTTGCTGCAACTAGGAACTCAAGGTTGTACGGAACACAGCTATTGTGGAGGTTCACACGTCAATTTAGCATTTTCTGGACGTTTTCCTGAATTTGTCGCTCGTATAAGAATTGAACATACTACGAAATTTGGCATGGATAGGTGTCATAGAAAAACAATTTTAAATGGCAGAATTAAAGTAATCAATTCGGTAAACAACACACCTAATTCGGTCATATATTTGCAGGTATAAACAGCAGTAGTAGTTCGAGATACACAACACAATGAATAGCAACCGTATTAGACAACTTCCTGAAGTTCTGGTGTCACGTGATTATTATTTAGTCGCCATTTGAAGGAGGCACGTACGTCGAAAGGGGCTATTTGCTTGGCGCCACCTAAATCGGCGCTTGTAGCCAATCACTTGAGGGCATTCGCCCATAGGGCGGAGCATTCGGACTAACATCAACCGGAGATCCTTGAGGTCTAAACACTTGATCGGGATTCCCGTCTTTCTCCACGTAGAACGAGTTCAGTATTCCATCACTTGCAGCAAGACTGAGGGTGTAATTTCTGCACGTAACGTTTTATACGTAGCGGACGTTGTGAATTTGGATTCGGCTAGCTCTGAGATGCCTCATCTCGTCAAACACAAAAAACGAAGTAGGCGCCATGAATGCGGTTCAATTGGAATGAAAATGAAAGTTCGCTTCTAGGTGTATGCATTGGCGCTTCTTTCTGGGGTTACTGAATAGATGACATCGACTCTATTATGGTTGCCTTGAAGGTGTGGCTACAAATTCTTTAGATGAAGGCGCTGTTTCCTTTACACTTAATGCGTAGTTAAGCCATTTCACGCGTGTTTTCCGACCAGCCCATTTTCTGAAAGCATGTAGATCGTACTGTACTATTAATATCCAAGCTTTAGTGTTCAATATAATCATTTATTCCAAATGTCTTATCTCTTAATCTGACCACACGCTAATTACAATATAGCTAAATTATTCTGTCCAGGTAGGTCGGTAGAAAATATACTGTAGTTACACTGCGAACACCATGAAGATTACCGCCACTCTCAAACATTTCCTTTCAAAGACAATGAAAAGGCAAGGATTAGTCGATGTGCAATGTTTAGCCAGGTATATAACAATTGCGTTTGTTTAAATAACAATACCGAGCAAGTTCGTGTCAATAAAATTTTAAAAAGTACTATTAAAAGAGTATTTGTCGATTCAGATTTATAATATGAGTGGAACGTAATGATTCCGACAGTTCACCGTCACTCGAGAGACCTGGCAAATGCAGAAGCCGTGCCTAGATTTTCACTTTACCCAGTGCTCATCTTTTCTATCCCAAGACTGAACACCTTTAATATCTTGCTTTATTAGCACCTACCCGAGTCTGTGCGAAATCTACGAAATGAATACCTCCACTTTTGCAATCCATTTACTGTTGAAACAGGCACTAAGAGATTCATTTATACTGGAAAATAAAGCACATGAGTAGCTAAAGCTTTATTTTGATTTTAAAGACTGATGTTCAGCTTCATCGCAACTATCTGGACTACTGATCTTAGCAGCAGCGTTAGCACAGAACAGGTAAATGCGTTTCCACAATAGAGAATGCACTTGCTGCGGGGTCAACAGAATAAAACGAAAAATATATCGGCTAGGTACATTTTTTGAATGGAAAAAAACACCGTTCGCTGTTACGGCTACCTCCCGACCGTACATTTATAATCGTGAAACACCAAAACAGGTCAACAAATATCAAGTTTCATTCAACCACTTTACACTCGGGGTACAGTAGCATGTGACTGTATTACTGATATCTTTATGTTGCTGATAGACTAGTTATTAGGTAGGTACATACCCAGGAAAAGATCCTCTTACTCCGGATTCGTGTTTGTAACAAAACAGTTGAAAACGCCCCCATGCTTTAGCATTGGCTCTCATGGCTACTGATGTCATACAATTTGAATATAACCCGCCAAATGCCTCAACTACCATGGGGGGCTGTTGTGAGACTAATGTTTAATAAATCAGAAATAAAAATCGGGGAGTATGCTTTAAAATTACGCATGTCTTTCAGCATCACTTATATAACTTATATGAGGTGCAGCACTTGAATTTATTTTAGGCTGAATTGACAATTAGGCTGTAGGAATATCAGGGAAAGTGGCACTCCTGCTGAACCATATTGTAAATTGGTTCAAGAAAGCAGTTTTGCCTACACTGACACAACACTGTCCTTGTATATTACATCGTGAAGTACGATCTGTAAATCGTTGATCACATCTGTACAGATATTGCGCAGATGTTTTTACTTGCTTGTTCTCCTACTGGAGTTTTCTGTTACAAGCTTGCCTTATTCTTGTCCCAGTACTGTCCACACAGACAACCCTGACACCAACCCTGTGTGTTATTTGTCTAGGGAGTTCTCTCCAAAGCCAGCCTGGTCTGCGGCCTTTTTGTTTCATCCATCCCACTTAGTGCATCAGCTGTGGTTCACTGGAAAGATTTACTGCCCTGGCAGTTCAGCATCAGTGGGAGATAATTAATATAATCCAAGGGGTTTCCTGGGAGTTGGTTTCATTTAGTAATGACTCAAGGTTACTGATTGGAATTAGATTTTATTTTTGCTTTTAAATTTACTGATTATTCCTTATGATATTCCCATAAAAACGAGTCACTCTGTATTTTACATGCTATGCCAGTGACATAGTAACTTACTGAGTAGCACTGTTGCCTTACATCCATGTAGGGTTTGAATCGCTATCTCTCCTGTTCATGTGAAATTTGCAGGTTCAACCATCGTGTCATGAGTGTATCCTTCAGGAGTCTAAAGATATGAGTTAACTTAACTGGCGTGTTTAAGTAGCCAGGGTGTATATCAGTGTGTGCCCTGGACTGGCATTCAGTGCTGGCTGCTCCATAGGCTTCTTTGTGCCTTTTATTGTCTGGGACAGACTTCAGGCCTGCCTTGTCATCCTGACCGCTTTAAGCAGTTAGAAGATTGAATGGTAGATTTAGAAATTTTACACTTCTATTCATTGACTTGATACTACGACAGAACAGATGAAAATTAAAATAGAAAATAAACAAATGACTACATTTTGAGTATGTAAATGTGTCAACCCAGTGTGTTTCTGCACCTGAAATACAGATGCTTTGCATGCTGATAAATGTTTTATACATTTATTTAAAAGGTATGCAGTGCTGGAAGACACGTCACGGCTCTGCAGACACCCAGTTTGGGATAAAGGTGTGATTATTGAAATGCAGCTTGTTACCAGCCAATGAGCTTCAATACATTTCAAATAATATTTTGCAAACCAGAGGAAGGTTCTAGATTTAACACTTCTGACAATGGTGTGAGATGTTTGTACCACATAGTATTATGAATGTAAAATATTTATTTCTTTTAAAACATATAAATTTAACACCAATCAAGCTTTAGGCAAAATTCATTAAGTACTTCTGGTACTGAATCAGAATGGATGGAAGTTATTTTCACACAGACACCTGTTAACAAGTGGCAAATACAGTCACAGAAGAAAAAATTAAGAGACCACTCTATATATATTTTTTTAAATCTGCATCTTTAAATCCTGGTTTAATCCTGGTTTTGGTGGCAGAAGGCTATGCTGAGCAGCAGGTTTTAGATACAGTACTGTGCAAAAGTCTTAGGCAGTCCAAAGAAATGTTTAAAGCTGTTTATCTGGGTAGCAAGTGTACTTTGGCTTAGAACAAAAAACACAATTTAACATTAGAACATGTGCAAATTAAGAGTAACACATTAAAAACTAGTAGTAATTTCTTCTGTTTTCTAAAAAGTTACTGATATCTAGTTGGATGGCTAGATGAACACCGCTTCAGTTCCCAAACTTCTCCTCAGGGGCACCTCAGCCGTTCCATGATTCTTTTAAATTTCACCAACAGCTCAAT